AAAAAGTAGCAGTTAATTTTGCAAACATAGTATATTATGGGGGTAAAATTATAGCCTAACTAGCCACAAATGTGTATTTGCAGCTGTGTGTCTCATGAAGGCCACAAATGTGTGTTACTAGTTTACCAAGATAGCAGTGTTGCTACTCCATAGGTGAACAGAGGACCTATAGCTGTGGCCTGGCATCACCTGAAATATTATCATAAAATTATATTGATGATAATAATAATAAACCTTATTTCTATAGTGCTCTCTAGCTCCAAGAGCACCAGAGTGCTGTACGGTAAAAACACAACAAAACAATAACACTAGCAAAGAACAGGTAGGTGCAAACACAAATACTAACCATGACTAAAATTTAAACAGTAAAACAGGTTAGGTCTCAAAAGCCTGCTTAAAAAAGTAAGTTTTTAAGGCTGACTTAAAGGCCACTAGCTCACTGTCCACCTTTATTTCTACCAGAAGAGCATTCCACAGTCTGGGGCCGTAGATGGAAAAAGATCGGTTGCGCCATTTTGGCACCACCAGCGACAAATGATCAGCGGAGCGAAGAGCTCTACACGGCACATAGACTGACAGGAGGTCAGATAGGTAGGATGGGGCGAGACCATGAATAGCTTTAAAAAACAAACAATAGGATCTTAAATTTAATTCTAAATTGGATCGGAAGCCAATGAAGAGCACGAAGAATCGAGGAGATATGGGCAAACCTAGGAGCACTGGATAGTAGCTGAGCTGCTGCATTTTGGACCAATTGTAATTTTTGAAGCAAAGTCTATAATCTCACCGTGAAGTAATAAAAGCGTGAATAGCCTTCTCCAGATCTCCTTGTGACAAAAAAGGTGGCTTAGCTGAAAAAAACAAGACTTAACCACTGCCCTAATCTGTTTCTCAAAAGTAAAACCACCATCAAAAATTATTCCAAGGTTTTTCAGATAGAGGGGAAAACTGAGGTGCAGAGGTTGACTACATCTGGCGGCGGGTCAGAACTAAAAAGAATGTATTTGGTCTTACTCTCGTTCAGATGCAGAAAATTTTGCGCAAGCCATTGCCTAACATCCTGAATGCAATTTTGCAATGGGGTAAGAGCAATATTGATAATACAATACAGGTATATTCTGGTTAAAACAAAGATATAATCACAGGGCGTTAGAATATTTCATGTTAAAATATGTATTAAATTAAAGTTCAATCCAGAGATGATGTGCAATTTTATCTCTTTGGGAAAAAAGTCTGAAAAGCCAAACATCTTAAGTTTTTCACCTGTCAATAAACACACCATGCGTTTGTGGATCAGAGAGCAAGAAAATACTCTCAAAATGTCACGTGATCCGTAGGTGTCGGGCAGTGTGTGCAGGTGCATCTAACAATCTCGACGTACATTTTAAAGAACTGCACACAGAAAATAGTTTGTACACATTTGTAAATATTGATTTTATTTGTAGATTACTGAATACATTTGTGGTCATTATGTGATACATGAATCATTTTTACACATTTGTGATCTTGACTGTATTTGTAAATGTGTGACTGTTTATGTTAGAAGTTTATCCCCATAGTATGTAGACTCGTAATCCTTCCAGTTTGCAGCCGTTTCAAGCCACATCTCAAGTTTTGCACTTAATGAATAATTTCAATGATATAGTTTGAAATGCAATAAGAAACTAATCATCAAAATCTTCTCCTGTAGGGTTTTGTGACATCTGGATGGGTTTATTCCACACCTGCACACACACAACCATGAGCAGTAGAAGCCCTTTTCCAGTCCAGGTCTGAAGAACTGTCCCTGCAGTATCTGCATCCAGCTCAGCCCTAAACCCGACTTACACCAGTGCAACCTAAAGAACTGTTGCCCCCTCACATAAGCCTAAACATTGGGAGTCTCAGATGCAAAGGCACTCCTTGACTTTAACACCAGTGACTCAGTGTATTTCTGAGCCCAGCTGATTTTTGACTAGAAAATTAAAAAAGAAAATCTGCTAAACAAGAAATGACATCCAGTGAACTTTCTAATATTAAAATATAACAACCTATCTAGAGTGTGTCAAATTCAGCTTTTGATGATAAGTGCGTTTTTTACTAAAAGGCTTTGAATGGGTTTGTATCTTTTATGACAATCAGGTCAAATCCAAACATTTTGTCTGCAACAAGGCAGTTTAGATACTTTTTATTGTTTTGGGCTGATTGGAAATTAATTTTTTATATTTTTGGCACATTTCTTTTAATAAATTTAAGGACGCACTCAATGAGGAGTTTCGCACAAAATACACACCCATGTTTTCTGGTGGAACCAGTCGAGGTTTAATTACACTGAGTTGAGCTCATTCAAATGGGCCCCAGGGCCAACCTGCAGACTCCTGATGTAGATGGTGGACTTTGAAGCATTTGTGCTTCCGGAGGAGGGGACTGAGGCAAGTTTTTATATACACACAGTAGTTCTATCCCACATGTTGTTCACAGAGCAAAAAAGTAGCAGTTAATTTTGCAAACATAGTATATTATGGGGGTAAAATTATAGCCTAACTAGCCACAAATGTGTATTTGCAGCTGTGTGTCTCATGAAGGCCACAAATGTGTGTTACTAGTTTACCAAGATAGCAGTGTTGCTACTCCATAGGTGAACAGAGGACCTATAGCTGTGGCCTGGCATCACCTGAAATATTATCATAAAATTATATTGATGATAATAATAATAAACCTTATTTCTATAGTGCTCTCTAGCTCCAAGAGCACCAGAGTGCTGTACGGTAAAAACACAACAAAACAATAACACTAGCAAAGAACAGGTAGGTGCAAACACAAATACTAACCATGACTAAAATTTAAACAGTAAAACAGGTTAGGTCTCAAAAGCCTGCTTAAAAAAGTAAGTTTTTAAGGCTGACTTAAAGGCCACTAGCTCACTGTCCACCTTTATTTCTACCAGAAGAGCATTCCACAGTCTGGGGCCGTAGATGGAAAAAGATCGGTTGCGCCATTTTGGCACCACCAGCGACAAATGATCAGCGGAGCGAAGAGCTCTACACGGCACATAGACTGACAGGAGGTCAGATAGGTAGGATGGGGCGAGACCATGAATAGCTTTAAAAAACAAACAATAGGATCTTAAATTTAATTCTAAATTGGATCGGAAGCCAATGAAGAGCACGAAGAATCGAGGAGATATGGGCAAACCTAGGAGCACTGGATAGTAGCTGAGCTGCTGCATTTTGGACCAATTGTAATTTTTGAAGCAAAGTCTATAATCTCACCGTGAAGTAATAAAAGCGTGAATAGCCTTCTCCAGATCTCCTTGTGACAAAAAAGGTGGCTTAGCTGAAAAAAACAAGACTTAACCACTGCCCTAATCTGTTTCTCAAAAGTAAAACCACCATCAAAAATTATTCCAAGGTTTTTCAGATAGAGGGGAAAACTGAGGTGCAGAGGTTGACTACATCTGGCGGCGGGTCAGAACTAAAAAGAATGTATTTGGTCTTACTCTCGTTCAGATGCAGAAAATTTTGCGCAAGCCATTGCCTAACATCCTGAATGCAATTTTGCAATGGGGTAAGAGCAATATTGATAATACAATACAGGTATATTCTGGTTAAAACAAAGATATAATCACAGGGCGTTAGAATATTTCATGTTAAAATATGTATTAAATTAAAGTTCAATCCAGAGATGATGTGCAATTTTATCTCTTTGGGAAAAAAGTCTGAAAAGCCAAACATCTTAAGTTTTTCACCTGTCAATAAACACACCATGCGTTTGTGGATCAGAGAGCAAGAAAATACTCTCAAAATGTCACGTGATCCGTAGGTGTCGGGCAGTGTGTGCAGGTGCATCTAACAATCTCGACGTACATTTTAAAGAACTGCACACAGAAAATAGTTTGTACACATTTGTAAATATTGATTTTATTTGTAGATTACTGAATACATTTGTGGTCATTATGTGATACATGAATCATTTTTACACATTTGTGATCTTGGCTGTATTTGTAAATGTGTGACTGTTTATGTTAGAAGTTTATCCCCATAGTATGTAGACTCGTAATCCTTCCAGTTTGCAGCCGTTTCAAGCCACATCTCAAGTTTTGCACTTAATGAATAATTTCAATGATATAGTTTGAAATGCAATAAGAAACTAATCATCAAAATCTTCTCCTGTAGGGTTTTGTGACATCTGGATGGGTTTATTCCACACCTGCACACACACAACCATGAGCAGTAGAAGCCCTTTTCCAGTCCAGGTCTGAAGAACTGTCCCTGCAGTATCTGCATCCAGCTCAGCCCTAAACCCGACTTACACCAGTGCAACCTAAAGAACTGTTGCCCCCTCACATAAGCCTAAACATTGGGAGTCCCAGATGCAAAGGCACTCCTTGACTTTAACACCAGTGACTCAGTGTATTTCTGAGCCCAGCTGATTTTTGACTAGAAAATTAAAAAAGAAAATCTGCTAAACAAGAAATGACATCCAGTGAACTTTCTAATATTAAAATATAACAACCTATCTAGAGTGTGTCAAATTCAGCTTTTGATGATAAGTGCGTTTTTTACTAAAAGGCTTTGAATGGGTTTGTATTTTTTATGACAATCAGGTCAAATCCAAACATTTTGTCTGCAACAAGGCAGTTTAGATACTTTTTATTGTTTTGGGCTGATTGGAAATTAATTTTTTATATTTTTGGCACATTTCTTTTAATAAATTTAAGGACGCACTCAATGAGGAGTTTCGCACAAAATACACACCCATGTTTTCTGGTGGAACCAGTCGAGGTTTAATTACACTGAGTTGAGCTCATTCAAATGGGCCCCAGGGCCAACCTGCAGACTCCTGATGTAGATGGTGGACTTTGAAGCATTTGTGCTTCCGGAGGAGGGGACTGAGGCAAGTTTTTGTTGCTAGAATTTCAAGCAAATGTCATTTTTCATGTCAGCTGTGTTACTGTGCGAGTCAAATTCAGTATTGACCAGAGAGGTGGTGAGGGTCCTGCTTTGTATTTTTCCATAAATGACAACATTAGCCCTCTTGGTGTACAACTAAACATAAGGATAGATGGAGCAGAGCATAATGGGAAAGAAACAACTTGAAACCTCTGTGTGTACAATTTTATTTCACTGTCATGATCTGTCAGTTGTGAAATTTTGCTGTTTAGTGCCAATGCTTTGTTACCGTCACAGCTCCAGTTTTTTTTATTTTTTTTAATTATTCTTTATGTGTCAGTGTTGCTGTACACATTCTGCCTCCTCGTAAACCCATGCACAAAACTGATGACACAGCAAACTACAGGAAGTTTTAATGTCTACATTTATTATCTGAAGCGTGGTGACTTGGGGTTTCTTTTTTTTAATCCCTTTTTGTCGAGGTTTGATAGTGAATGTGTCCAGCTGAAATCATGAATTTCCTTACCTGACAACAGGCTAATTGCTGAAATGTATTTGATTGTATTGCATAATTAAAATGGGTCGGTATATCACTAAATGTGCTGCTAGTGTGTCTTCACTCTGTACGTTTCTGTTGGTAGTTACACCTATCTTTAGATGTATCTGACCAGGCAAAAAAGTAGCCTGGCAGTAGTAGTCTAAACTTTGCACCTGAAAATGGACACAACCCTCTAACCAATCAACACATCCTTCCACAGATTAGCAGTTAACTTGACAATCCTCGTGCCTCTATATGAACCTGGGCAAAGTGCAAAATACTGTCTCCTGAACAGAAAGCTGCTCTGCTGATGAGCCGGCTGTTCATTCAGAGGGACACCTGATGAGGGTACCCTCTCTGAACATTTAAATTACATCTAATCACCTGCTTTCTAGTTGTTGAAATGGCCACACTGGAGTTATACAGCAAGGTAAGACTGACCTGAATTTTTGTTTCTTTTAAAGTGATGTATCATTCTGTTCTCCCTTAAAAGAAAATGTAATGACAGTGATATAAAAACAACATTGTTAATGATGTCCGAGCATAGTTGTGTGTGACACATCTGGTTTGTGTTCGTCAGCCTTTGTCTGTTATATAAATGTTTCTAAAATCTTAATGTTTTGTGCTAAAAGGTTTTAATTCACAATAGACTTGGTTTGTTACAATCAGCAAAAACTGGAATTTTTATTCTTTTTCTGTGAAATTAATTTGTAAAAAGAAAATAACTAAATTAGACATGCTGGAGGTAAATAATCACTAATCCTTGCAGGTAATTTAGAGTAGAATGACCAGTGTTAATTTTTAACAGTGTTTAGGAGACTTTTATGCTGAGGGCTCACAAATCTGTAGTTTGGGTGGGACCAGGGAGTGTGACGTGTGCCTGAACAGTGTCAGAAAATAAAATATGTAATGAAAGTCTGTTTTCTCTTGGACCAGCACATGTGGCTTTTGTTAGCTTATTTGTTTATCATTTAAGTTATATTGTACATATCTATATTTTTACAGCTGAAGCTTTTATTTATGTGTTTATTTTTTTGGCTAGGGGGCAAGTGTGTGGATTCCTGACCCAGATGCTGTATGGGTTTCAGCTCAACTCCTCGAGGACTACAGTCCTGGACACAAACATCTACTGCTCCAGCTCTCTGATGGAAACGTGAGACATGCAGTCCCATTAACAATGTTTTCGTTAAAATCCCACACTATTTTTATTTGCGTTACAGGAACTTTTCATTTTTGCATTGCTAGGAGGTTCATTATCCAGTGGGCTCCTCCTCTGATCTGCCGCCGCTGGGGAACCCTGACATCCTAGAGGGTGAAAATGACCTAACAACACTCACCTTCCTCCATGAGCCTGCTGTCCTGCACAACCTCCGGGTTCGATTCTTGGACTACAGCAGCATCTACACATACTGTGGTGAGCACAGAAATGGTGAAAGCGGATAAAAAGAGGGAGTGTTAAAGAAATCTGATTGTCACACTAAAAGAGGCACAACATAGTGTACATGTAAGTGACAGAAGTTCCTTGAGATGTACGCTGGCAAGCTGCCAGCAATAGACAGCTCCTGTGTGCTTCTGTCTGCATGAATATTGCTCATAATGTCAACTATATTACCATAAGTCAAAGGTTGAGAGGGAGGCTACTCCCTCACTGCTACTGGATTAAGATGTTGTTGTATAGTTTCTGCTATAGATAATGCTTATTTTAAATAATTTTTTTTAACTTACTGGCTATTTTGACAAACTAAATTTGTGTATTTTTGTCATGAAAATTAAAGAGCAATTTAACAACCTTTGAAAATGTTGTTTTGCTGATTTTAGTAGTTTAACTTCTCATCTAGCAGCAGTGACGTACACCTCCAGCCTTCTCCTTTTATATAAACATGCAGTCACCTGCACACACTCAAGGCATTATGTATAGACACCCATTCACAAATGAAAGGACAAGCTAACAAAGTGTCTCAGTGAGGTGTTGGGCCACCAGGTGCCACCAGGACAGCTTCAGTGCACCTTGGCATTGATTCTACAAGTCTCTGAGCTCTAATGCAGGGATGAACACCATTCATCCAAAGACATAAGATATTCTCTCATGTAGTGTTTATTGATGGTGGTGGAGATGCTGTCTAACACGTTGGTCCAACTAACATCTCCCATAGGTGTTCAATTTGTATAAATATACATACAGTATGTATGTGTGTGTGTGTGTGTGTGTATAAAGCACTATGCATCTTCTGTGAATCTGTTTGCTTCTATAGTTATACTGTCAAGGAGAGCACAAATTTATCATTTAGTGATAAAAAAAACGTAAAAGGAGTGAAAACTGTGGCTGTGAAGACGACTTAGATAATGTTTTAGACCAGTTCAACAGCCTCACCCCTGATATCACCACTGCAGCCGCTGAATGTTTCTCGTCATAGAGATCAATGTACTGTATTTCTCATTTTGAATCATTTTAACAAAAATTCCAAGACATTTTAATCTTTTGAAAAGTACGTCATCATCAGTGAGCCATGGGCGTCCATGACCCTGTCACCAGTTCACCATTTGTCCTTCCTTAGACACTGTTGGTAGGTCCTAACTGCTGCAGACCAAGAACACCCACCAAGACCTGCAGTGTTGGAGATGCCCCTGTCAAAGTCACAGAGATCCTTACACCTGTCTATTTTTCCTGCTTCTAACAGATAAACCTGAGGAACTGTATGTTCAGTTGCTGCCTAATATACCCCACACACTGACAGGTTCCACTGTAATAACATAATCAAAGTTACTTCACCTATCAGTGGTCATAATGTTATGGCTGTTAAGTGTATATCTTATGCTGAGGTCACTTTCCTGTCCCTCTAGGTATCGTGTTAGTAGCCATCAATCCCTATGACCAGCTCCCCATATATGGAGAGGAGGTGATAGATGCATACTGTGGCCAGGACATGGCTGACATGGAACCTCACATCTTTTCTGTGGCTGAGGAAGCGTACCGCACTATGATAAGGTCAGAGGTCAAAGAGCAGGGGTCATGTTATTGTAATTGATTAAAAGTGAACGAGTGTTGCTCTTTTTAGAAAACGATACACATTGCTATGCAATATTAACTTTTTTTATATACTCTCTTAGCACAAGTGCTCTTAAATCCTGCAACACTGACTGGTCTCAGCATAACTTCACCATATGGGATCTGATAGCCTCTCTTTGTGTTTACAGGGAGGAGAAAAAGCAGTCCATTATTATCAGTGGAGAGTCTGGCTCAGGGAAAACGGTTTCAGCCAAGTTTACCATGCGATATTTTGCAGTGGTTGGAGGAACAGCACAGCAGACCAGGGTGGAAGAGAGGGTTCTGGCTTCCAACCCTATCATGGAGGTGATGGCTAGTTGAACAGATTGGTTATTTAGGAATAAGAATTTTTAATCTTAGTTATGTTATTTAAAGATGCAGGTTTTTTTGTCTACAGTCCATTGGAAATGCTAAAACCATTCGAAATGACAACAGCAGTCGTTTTGGGAAGTACATTGAGATCGGCTTTGGTAGAAAGGGGGACATCATTGGGGCAAACATGAGGACATATCTGCTGGAGAAGTCAAGAGTTGTGTTCCAGGTAAAGTCTCAGCACTCTCTCTCTGTTTATGCATTTTCAGTGCATCTGTCCATGAAGATTGTGTATATTCTTACTGTATGTGTCTGTCAGGCATCAGCAGAGAGAAACTACCATATCTTCTACCAGCTGTGTGCCTCCAGAGAGCTGCTGGAAATGAGATCCCTCAGACTGGGTGAGACTCAATCACAGGCAGCCCGCTCAACTTGCTCTCAGAAGATCAGCATGACTGGACAATTTCAGCTAACTGTGGCCATAATGTAGTGTATATTATATTGTCCATGTCGCATGGACTATGAGTGTGATCTGTTTATCTTTTCTCCAGATGCACCTGAGCATTTCCACTACACCAAACAGGGAGGAGAAATGCAAATACCCGCTACTGATGATTTGTCAGATCTGGAGCGCACTCGCAGTGCTTTCAGCATTCTAGGTAGAGTATGTGATTTACACACACAATGTAAATTCAGTTTAAGATCAGCTTCAGAGATTACTTTATTGCACTGAGATTTCATTTTAATTTGCAAGGCCAGTCATAAAGATAAAACAGGATGATTCTTTGCTTTTTATCTGGAACTTGCAGGCATGCAGCCTGACCAACAGATGGAGCTCTTCAGGATTCTGTCAGCTATTCTTCACCTGGGTAATGTCAACATCCAAGCCAGTGGGAGAAGTTCTGACCGGAGCTATATTGATGTAAGAAATTTATTTCTAATGCAGTTTGCCCCCCTGTCCCCTAAAGTGCCAACACTTTTCTTTCTCAGCTGACGTCTTATTTTCTCAGTCACTGCATTTACTACAGGAAGTACACATGAGTCCTTTATCTTTTCTCAGGCAGATGACCACTCTTTGGCTATCTTCTCCAAGCTGCTTGGAGTTGAGAGACCTCAGATGGCCCAATGGCTTTGTCATCGCAGGCTGGCTGTAAGGGGAGAGATACTGGTCAAACCCATGTCTGGTCAGCAAGCTGCAGAAGCCAGAGATGCACTGGCTAAACACATATATGGACAGCTGTTTACATGGATTGTTCACAGACTAAACTCTGCTCTGCACACTCAGAGAGGGCAGGTCAAATCCTTCATAGGGGTGCTAGATATCTATGGGTGAGTGACCTTAGGCTTTGTGGTACTGGATAAAAATTGTCTTATAACACTCAAAGTTGCAGAAATGCTTGCAAACAGTCTGCAGTGTGTTTCTACAAAGCTGACCTGTCATGGCGTCTTTCTTTTTTTCTTTGTTTTTCTTTTTGTGGGCAGGTTTGAGACCTTTGACAGGAACAGTTTTGAGCAGTTCTGTATAAATTATGCAAATGAAAAACTGCAACAGCAATTCAACAGAGTAAGTGATGTGATGTACAGTATTTCAGTCCCTTTGTGTTTTGTATGTTTACAGTCAGAATCATTGGAAGTTTGTGTTGTAGTCGAGTCACTAAACCTCAAGTCCAAGTTGAGTATTGAGTCCCCAGTGTATGAGTCTGAGTCAAGTCCGAGTCACCTAAGAATAATCCGAGTTGAGTCCGAGTCAAGTCCCACGTTACCTGAGTCAATCACCAATTAAACACAACTGACATAGCTTTCACCATTTTGGATTCCAAACTTTCTAACAGCGTGTTGCATCACCAATTTGCTCGGCCATTTGATAGTTAAAGTCAAGTCAGTTTATTTATAAAGCACACTTAAAAGAACAACAGCTGACCAAGGTGCTGTACATAGCAGGGTACAATAAATTAAACAACAGAGTAAAATAATAAAACATAAGCTCATGTTAGAAATTATTTACAGAAAGGCGGAGTGTACATGTCAGTGGAAGTGTGCTGGATACAGCGTAGTGTGGGTGAACAGGTTTTAATATCAATATCTTATGCCAAATTATTGTGGCCTATTACAAAAACTAAAGTCTGAGTCTTCGACTTCTGAGTCCTAATGCAGTCAATGCTCGAGTCCAAGTAAGAGTCATTAGTGTCTCAAGTCAAAGTTGAGTCATGAATCCTGAAAATCTTGACTCGAGTCCAAGTCCTGTAGTACTACAACACTGAATTTTTTTTTCAGTTTGTTTCAGACTTCAAGAAATCCTTGTACTCCTGCAGTGTACCTTCACTAACTCTAGTTCAGTTTAATGAAACAATACTAATCTTACCGATTATACAGCAACAGGTGGTTCTGTGCATCATTTTGTTTCATTGTTAATGTCCATCTTGTCCTCAGTTATGCAGATTAATGCACATTTTACAGCATGTGTGGCATTCTATCTCTCTCCTGTAATGTTTTGTCTTTTTTTTAGAGTGATTTTCAGAAAAATAGGTTTGTCTTCATGGTAACTAATGGAAAAGGAAGTGAATGTCCTTATTTATGTCTCTGTTGTGAGGGAAAGAAGCACAGTCTGTTCTCTCTGTGCGATGGTCTGTCTTGCCAAACTGGCCTCAGTGTGTCAATCTTTTCAGTCCGTCCTCAGACCATCTGCCTGCCTGTCTGATTAGAGTCACTGCAATTGCTTATATTTTATTTCTATCTTAATATTAAATATGATTGTTTTTTTGCTGAATTATGGTGTGTTTTTCTGCAGCATGTTTTCCACTTGGAGCAGGAGGAGTACATCCGGGAGGAACTGGCCTGGAACAGGATCAAGTTCAATGATAATCAGCAGTGCATCAGTCTCATAGAGGGACAACTGGGCCTTTTTGATTTGTTAGATGAGGAGTGCAGGGTCAGTGACACAGTCCCTCTTTCTGTTTTTCTTGCTTATTTTGTTCTGAATCTTTTTGTGTCTTTCTGTTCCTCTTTGTTCCCAGTGGTTGCCCGAAATTTCGCAGAAAACTGCTGCATGTTGCCACTATGTTACACAAAGTTCTACTTAAAGTCTAATTGCATTTTTTCTCTTAATTGTACAATCATCTTAATTGTAAAATCACAGCAGAGAAGTTTGAGGTCCAGTTGGGTTTACTCTCTATTTATGATCAGATGCCTAAAGGTTCAGATGAGAGCTGGGTGCACAAACTTTATGACCAGCACCTGACCAGCAAGCCCCATCCTCACTTCCAGAAACCTCGCATGTCCAACAGCGCCTTCATTGTTCTACACTTCGCTGACATGGTGAGTCATTCAGTTTAGTTCAGGGAAAAGTGTATGAGAAGTGCCGTGGACATCACTGTTCATCTCCACTGAATATGACAGGAAGTTGTTTTTCAAGTTAATGACAGTAGTCTGAAAGCCAAATGTAGTTCTCCACTGTCTTAGTATGAAATGTTTTTCTTTCTTCAACAGGTGCAATATGAGTGTCATGGCTTTTTAGACAAGAATCGAGATACAGTCTTCGAGGAGCTCATTAACATTCTAAAAGCAAGTCAGGTACTTATGTGTAACATATCGACTCTCTTAAGTTCATTTCATTTCTGTGAGACTCAGGGACCACTATTTAGTGTCTCTGTGTGTTCATGTGTGTATCAGTCTGAGCTGGTGGCTGAGTTGTTCCAAGAGCAGGGAAAAGTTTCCTCTGTGACCAATGGAAGTGTTCGCTCAGGGAAAAGAGCCACCAGAGAACACAAACTGACTGTGGGCTCCCAGGTGAGCTGTTACTCATGGGCAGATTCTGGGAGTGGTCAGGGATGGCTACCATCCGGCCCCAGAATCTGGTTGGCCACCCCTGATTCCACCCCTGCCGGAGTCAAAATGTGATGCTTGTCAGTATGAAATGAATGAAAAAGGAAGAATATGTAACTAACCTTTTCTGGTACATTATAATTGACACTGGTCAAATTGGTTTTATTTTATATCATGCACGCAGCATGACATTTGCATTAATGTCTTCGCTCGCTGTCCCTGGCCATGACTAAATAAGGAGTGCAGCTAAAGTTAGTTAAAGAAAGCACTATGTGAGTCTCATGTTTACACATATACCTAGGGGTTTAATATTTAAAATGTGCCACCCATTTCTGAGTCTGCTCACCCTGTCCAAAATGTTCAAGATCTGTTCCTGCTGTTACTGCTCCAATTTGTTTAATTCCATGATCATTTATGTAGCTTTTTGGTGCATCCTTGTATCTCAGTGATTGAGCAGAAAATATGTCATCAGTATGTTTTGTATTGATTGTTGTTTACTTGGACTGTGGTTGTGCCCATCAGTTTCGTCAGTCCTTACAGATGCTAATGGACACCCTTAACAGCACCACTCCTCACTATGTGCGCTGTATTAAGCCCAATGACCTCAAAGAGCCTTTTATGTAAGCTCTCATTTGTGTATTGTTTTGCAGCAAATATGTGTTGTATTGCATACTGGTATGTTTACTAAACAACTCATAACATGTCTCCCATGTCAGGTTTGATCCCAAGAGAATAGTCCAGCAGCTGAGAGCCTGTGGCGTCCTGGAGACGATTCGTATCAGTGCTGCAGGTTACCCATCCAGGTACTGAGTACTTCCTACAGGCATTCATCTTACTCTCTGCAGTGCTCACATACTATATATAAGTGTGAGAACTGAGTCTGTAAAGTCATGGTGCAATATAATCTTAAAGAACCACACCAAAAGTTTTGAACCATTTTCACTGCAAATTGTATGTATCTTAAAGTAAGCATAAATAAGGTGTTACCTTACCTCAGCTCTCTTACCTTTTAGACAATTTGTTTCAGCCTGCAGTAAAATGGTATAGTGACTAATTTATAGAGGCATAAAGCTTTCTTGAGACAAATATTCCATCACAAAAACAACTTAATTGCCTATATTTATTAAGTTATTGGTCAAAGTTTCCACTACCCAGTATTCCAGCTACATTCCAGAACCTTTAGGACAAACAAAATGGATGTTAATGAAAGAGTAATGATGCCCATCCTCATTCAACAAACACAAAATTCACTGCAGACACATAATGATCTGAAATAGAGGTACACATGCACAAGCTATCTGAATTATCAAGCTGTTTTTTCCCCCAAGATTTCTATATTAAATCTTTGTTTCCAGATGGATGTATGAAGAGTTCTTCAGAAGGTACCACGTTCTTTTTCAAGGCCTGAAGAGTCAGGAGCAGGCTCAGGCCTCATGCAGACAGACCCTGCCTCAGCTCATCCCAGACCCGGAGCAGTACTGCTTTGGAAAGACTAAAGTATTTTTCCGGGCTGGTCAGGTGGCCCTTCTGGAGAGGATGAGAGCTGAGAGGCTGTGTGTGGCTGCTGTGATCATCCAGAGCCAGGTCAGAGGATGGCTGGCAAGAATCAGATACACCAGGATCCTCTGGGCAACTGTCACCATACAGAGATACTGCAGAGGAGTGCTGGCCAGACGGTGAGGATAGAGAGGGAGGCTTTTCTAACTACTGTATGTATGTGTGGGGGTGTAGAATGATGAAAATACTGTAAGTTGGCACATCATATTTATATATTTCCTCTATATCACAGTACATATTGTATTTCTGTTTTTTGTATAAACATGATAAATTAGCCACACAAAACTACCAGACATAGCCCAAAACTTTCAATGATATGTTCTGCATTTAAACTGCATCATCTGCAGATTGGCCCTGACCCTGCGCTACACCAAGGCTGCCTTAGTAATCCAGAAAACATTCCGCATGGTGGTGGTCAGGCAGTTGTTCCTCATGATCCGCCAGGCCACCATCACCATCCAGGCCTTCAGCAGGGGCATGCTGGCACGCCGCAGTTACAGACTGGTCAGCACTCAACAACAGTTTATTACCTGCTTGAGTAGATCTTTAAAAAATATCCTCCATCTGCCTGCTTTGAATGTTTTGGTCTCTCTTGCCTTGAAACTGCAGCTCCATTTAAAACTCTCTTTCCTCAGTTGGTGGCGGAACGTGCTGCTGTGTTGCTTCAGACAAGAGTGCGTGGGTGGTTGGCGAGGCAGACGTATAGGCGGATATATGCGGCGGTGGTGTTCATGCAGTGTTGCGTGCGCCGCAAGGCTGCCAGGAGAGAGCTGCTGAAGCTAAAGACTGAGGCCCGCTCAGTGGAGAGGTACAGAGAGCTCAACAAGGGCATGGAAGTCAAACTGATGCAGCTGCAGTTAAGAGCTGACCAGGAGGTGGGTGAAGAGTTTCAGAGGGTTTTGACCCTCCGATGTGATGCTTGTAAGCATCCCAAAAATATAAACTATGTGTTAAGAAGGTGTTTCATTTTTATGAAACTTGTGTTTGTATGTATACAGGCCAGAGAAAGTGCTGCTTTGAGAGAAACCCTGAACATAGAGCGAGCTGCAGCCAGCGCTGAGCTGGAGACTCTGAGGGCAATGATACAGAAACTAGAAAGCCAGAAACACGAGAAGCCTCAGCCCTCGCCAGTCATCAGCGAGAAGAAGGTGGAGCAAAGGAGGAGAGCTGAGGAGAAGGCTGCCCAGGAGATCCTTCAACTCACACAAGTACTGGAGGCCTGTAACCTCAAGAATAACATGACACATTTCAAACTGTTGTCTGATAATAAACATTTTTCTTTTCTTGCCATCTATTTAATAATCAGTCAGTCATAAACATTATTGCCAAGGCTGGTTAATTATAGTGGCAAGAAAAAGTATGTGAACTTGTTGGAATGTCATGGTTTTCTGCATTAATTTGCAGAAACGCGCAACGACTCTGCTGCACATGCTTCTCCCATGCAGCATACATTCTGTTATATTCTTGTTTATTTATTTATTTTTTTACTATATTGCTGCTTCTACGCTGCTTAAAATACCTTAGATTTTGTGTTATTTATTTATCTATTTTATATTTCGTTTGTATTTTGTGGCATTCATGTGGACTGCAAAGTGAGAATTTCATTGTACAGGGAAACACGTTTCCTAACTGTGCATATGACAAAATAAACACTTTGAACTTTGAATTAATTTGTCATAAAATGTGATTATGACAAAAACAACACAAAAAAAATTCTGATCTTTCATGTCTTTATTGAAGACACTCATTCAAAATTCAGAATGGTAGTGGAAAAAGTAAGTGAACCCCTGGAATTTAATAACTGGTTGACCCCCCTTGGCAGCAATAACCTCAACTAGGCACCTCCTGTAGCTGTGGATCAGACGTGCACATTGTTCAGGAGGAATTTTAGCCCATTCCAACAAGACTCCAGGTAACTTTGATGAGGTCATTAACTCAAGGGTTCACATACTTCTTCCACTAACACTAGGAGGTTTTTATGGTTGTTCTCAATAAAGACATGAACTTTTTTTGTGTTGTTATATTAGGCACATTATATTTGTCAGTACTCTTGACTTAGATGAAGATCAGATAACATTTTATGACAAATTAATGCAGAAAACCATGACATTCCAACAAGTTAACATACTTTTTCTTGCCACTATACAATGACTTTGACTTCAGCTCAATGGCCCCTGATGTGCACTGAATAAAACAGAACAACAAATAAAACAGAAAAAGAGAAAAAAAAAAAAAAAAAAAAAAAAAAAAGACGACCAACCATCCACTTCTAAATATGTACATATAAACCAGTTAAAAATGAGCTATTTTATGTACAATAATTACATCTATAAGTTATTGCACTGTGGTGTTTGCTGTATCTTGTTACTTTACATATAAACATGGGTTAACTGTTCATCAGAGTGATGGCCTAGGGGAAGAAACTGTCCTTGTGTCTGGTTGTTTTGGCGTACAGTGACCTGTAGCACAATCCAGAGGGAAGTTCAAACTGTTTGTGTCCAGAGTATGAGGGGTCTGTAGAAACCTTCTCTACACTCCTTTTGACCCCTGAGGTGTGGGGGGCAGGTTGGCACTGATGATCTTTTCTGCAGTCCTGACTGTCTGCTGGAGTCTGTTTGGTTGCTGAGCCAAACTAGACAGTGATGGATGAGCAGAGAACAGACTTGATGATTCTTCTGTAGAACTGTATTAGCAGGTTTTGGGGCAGGTTGAACTTCCTGAGTTGATGCAGGAAGTACATCCTCTGCTGTGCTTTCTTGGTGATGGTCCTGATGTTGGATGGCCACTTCAGGTCCTGAGAGATAGTGGAGCCCAGGAACTTGAAGGACTCTATTGCTGATACAGTGCTGCTGATTATGGTGAGGGGGCTCCTCCTGAAGTCCACTGTCATTTCTGCTGTTTTTAGCATGTTCACCTCCAGGTTGCCTCAACTGCAACACAAGGCCAACTGTTCAACCTCCCGTTTGTACGCAGGCTTGTCACTGTCTCGGATGAGACCGATGACCGTTGTGTCATCTGCAAACTTCAGGAGTTTAACAGAGGGGTCGTCTGAGGTGCACTTATTGATGTAGAGGGAGAACAGCAGTTGGGAGAGCACACATCCCTGGGGGGGCCTGTGCTGATAGTCCAGGTGCTGGATGTGGTTTTCCCCAGGCTCACCTGCTGCTTCCTGTCTGTCAGAAAGCTAGTAATCCACTGACAGGTGGGGGCAGGCACAGTGAGCTGGGTCAGTTTGGAGTGGAGGATGTCCAGGATGAAGGTGTTGAATGCTGAGCTGAAGTCCACAAAGAGGGCCCGTGCATAGGTCCCTGGGGAGTCGAGGTGTTGCAGGATGTAATGCAGTGCCACGTTCACTGCATTGTCCACTGACCTGTTTGCCTGGTAGGCAAACTGCAGGGGGTCTACGATGTCCTTCAGGTGGGCCAACACCAGTCTTTCAAAGGACTTCAAAAATATAGATGCCAGAGCGACAGCTCTATAGTCATTCAGTCTGCTGATGGAGGGTGTCTTGGGGACTGGGATGATGGTGGAGCTTTTGAAGCAGGAGGCAACTTCACACAGCTCCAGTGACCTGTGAGAAGATGGGAGTCAGCTGACCAGCACAAGCTTCCAGACAGTAGGGAGTCACACCATCTGGGCCTGGTGCTTTACTGATCTTTTGTTTTTTGAAAAGGTTAAGCACATCCTTTTTACAGATCTTCAGGGGTGGGGTGCTGGGGGAAGGGTGGAGGGAGCAGCTGCTAGATCTGAGGCAAGGTGGGTGAGGTGTGTGGAGTTCTCCTTCTCAAGCCTGCAGTAGAATGTAACTCAGATTTTAAGGGGTTTAATAGTTTATTTTTATTCTTTCTAATTTTTTAAGGAGTTGCAAGCCCTGCAGAGAGAGAGAGACTGTTTTTACAGAGAGAAAGAGGATCTGTCTGCTTGCTTGCTTGAACAAGCAAAAACACAAGAAGGTACAGTAGGTCCTGAATTTACCAGTATTGTACAGTGCTCTCTGCCTTTTTGCCCTTTTTTACCCTTTTGGATCTCACTCACCTTCTTTCTTCCTGCCTCTGTGTGTATTCATGTGTCTGCAGAGTGTGTGCATCAGGCTGTGTCTCAGGCCAGTGCAGCTCTGAGAGCAGAGCTGGATGATGAGAGGACAAAGTATCAGGGTCTTCTGAGAGAGTTCACCAGGCTGGAGCAGAGATACAACAACCTCAGAGAGATGAATCTGCTTGCTGAGGTTTGGCCATCCACAAACACACCTACCTTCTTCCCCAGAAGCACAGTTTTGGTCTTAAACTAGATCTTGGTTTGCTGAGAGTCTTTTTTTCTCCTCATGACAGCACACCAAAGGCCACAGAAGGACAGACTCAGCACAGAGTCTGAGTTTGGAGCCCCTCTCTCCTACATCTAGCCCACTATCACCCCCACCTCTCAGCCCACTCTCCATCTCACCCATCCCTTCTACTTTCCCTTCCCCGGAGCAGGTCCGCAGGGCCAGTGTTGTCTCCTTAGAGAGGAAGCTCTTGGTGTGGAGCTCTGACACTCCACTGGTGAGAGGAATGCCACATAACCTCAAGTTTGTTAGAATCAAATACTGTATTTTCTGATTAGTCATCCATATTTTTTTTCCACTAACAAGTGTCTGTGTATTTATTCTAACTATTTATTGCAGCCTAGTCAAGTCTAATGTCAAACTGTGTTCATGCTTGCGCTGCCAGGACCAGTTGATGGAAAAGATGGATGTGGTCAAAGACCCGGCAGTGAAGATGAGAGGAGAGGACCTGGCACATGCCTATGATGCCGTACGAGTGGCCAACAAGTAAGTCCGTCAATACTCATTGATTCCTATCAATGTATTAACTTCTTTTCTCTTTTTGGTAGATTAACTCTGTTTTTTTGTTTGATCTTTCCCTCAGGTTTCTGGAGTGTCAGCTGCAGAACCAGCGCAGTCAGTGGGAGGAGGAGCTAGAAGCTTTGAGGTCCCAGCTCAGTCAGGCGATCTGCGGTTCTTCCCTTGCTGCACAGCGACAGGTATTGACTCAGTTATCTGACAGCTATCTGTGGTACCTGAAGGATATGGCTGAAAACTATTTGTGAATTTAAGAAAAGAAGTTTAAAGGTGTTTGTTTCAACATTCTCACATATTTCGATGTTGTACATTTTGCTCCCATCTTTGCTTTCTGCTTTTTTCCTGACACTTCTTACTGACATAACCCTGTGCAGTCTACAAAGTAAGAGCAGATTTACTTGCCACTGGGGTGATACACTTACAATTGGCATCTTATAATCTTCTTTATTTAAAAACTTTTCTTTTATTGCAGGCATTGCAAGTCACTTTGGCTGACAGCATTCAACAAAAGCTAGAAATTAATGATGTCGGTGTGCTTGTGTGTAAAGGAGCTGCAGGAGCTACTAGAGGCCAGAGAGCAAGAATGTGTCAAACTGAGGAGAGAACTAAAGGAGCTCAGAAACACGGTCTCGCTTCGACGAGTCCTGACGCAAGGTAAGGTTTCTGATTGGATATTGCTAAAAGTAATGATGTCACAATGCACTTGAGAACAGAAGGTAAACGCATATTAGAGAAACACCATGAGTAGATAGGCGGCAGTGGCTCTGGCTCTGGAGGAAGAGCCGGTCATCCCCTAACCCTAGGGTTGGCGGTTTGATCCCTGGCTTCTCCAGTCCATATGTTGAAGTGTCCTTGGGCAGGACGCCGAGCCCCAAGTTGCTCCCAGTGATCTCACCAATGTGTGAACCTTTGCGTGCGCAAATGGGTTAACAGGCAAATAGTGCTTTGAATATGCTTTGGTGCATAGAAAGGTGATATACAAATACTTACCATTAGATGACATTCATATAGAAAAATGCCTTCAATCTATTCATGTTTCCATCAACAGTTTAATTTAAGAACTTACAAAAGTGATTATATCTTATCTTACACCTTTGTAGTTCTTTGCTTGTGCTGCTGCTTCAGTTGTGGTATTTCCCTTTTCAGTTCTCCCATCAGTTTTGACCCCAGAGACCTCCTCCTGTCCATCCCGAACAAAGCCAGCCACAGTCACTGGTTTATTAGAATGTAGGAAAAGAGATGAAACCAGACTCATCAAGAACCTGATCACAGGTGAGATTGATCTTCAGCCTCCTCTTTTGTTCCCACTTGCCTTGGAAATTGAAGGGATGTGATCATTTGTTTTGTGTAAATTTACAAGAAAGAAAGCAAAAGCAAAAGTAAGTGTCATTTTTTTAAAGCTTCACATAATAATGGTTTTGAGATGTATTTCTCCTAAGACAGTTGTAAGGGGATTCTCAAGATACTTGTTGTGCAAGCTGTGTTCTTCTGTGTGTTATGTGACTCAGAAGAGTAAAGTTGTACTGTTGCCCTTCTCTAGCTGACAAATATGACCGGGCTGTGTTTAGCTTGCCACTGCTGTTCTCTCTGTCTGTGCTGTAGACATTCACGTTGACAGCGCCCTCTCTCTGTCTCCTGGCCTGTCTGCCAGCGTGCTCTTCCTGTGTGTGCGTCAGGCTGACTGCAGTGGGGACCAGGCTCGCGCTCGTTCACTGTGTAGTGCTGCTGTCACTGCTATGAAGACAGCTCTGAAGGTAACCTGTGGTGATTGACCTTCTAGTGCACCATATGGTTCAGGTTTAATGTAAAAGGGCAGTTCACATCATGGCAGGTAAATGTTACAGAGAAACATGGACAACTAACTCTGAACCAGTTTCACCCTAACAATCAGGCTCCTAAGGAGAAAGTAAACCACAACAAAGCTCTCGTATACCACACACATAAGTGCTGATCTCCACATGACAATATAACTTTCTCATTTTATTTGTTTCTTCAGAAGCATAGCAATGATGCAGATATGTCAGCTCTGTGGCTGAAAAATGCCTGTCTGTTGCATGACCTGTTGGCACAGCATTCTCCAAAGCGGGTAGGTTAACTATTATTATTTACATCTTATTGTCTGAAAGCAGTTTAGTAGCTTGAAAAGGCAGTGATAATAGTTGATATCAGCGCTCAATAATTATTTTAAAAAATCTTGTGTTGTCTGATGAATAGAAATAATTCAATCCAATCAAATTTTATTTGTATAGCACCAAATCACAACAAAAGTCATCTCAGGACACTTTACAAAGCAAGGTCTAGACCTTACTATTAGTAATATTATAAAGGAAACACCCAACAAATGCCCACTGAAGCAAGCACTTGGCGACAGTAGGGAGGAAGAAACCTCCGACAGACCCCGGCTCTTGGCTGGTGGCCTTCTGCCTCAACTGGTTGGGGTGAGTGGATAGAGGAGAGAGAGAAAAGAAAAGCCCCCAGCAGCCTAGGCCTATAGCAGCATAACTAAGGGAAGGCTCAGCCCTAACTATAAGCTTTATCAAAAAGGAACGTCTTAAGTCTAATCTTAAAGGTAGAGAGGGTGTCCGCCTCCCGAACTGAGACTGGGAGTTGGTTCCATAGGAGAGGAGCTTGATAGCTAAAGGCTCTGCCTCCCATTCTGCTTCTGTGGACTCTAGGAACCACAAGTAAACCTGCACTCTGAGAGCAAAGTGCTCTGTTGAGTTGATAAGACACTATGAGGTTTTTAAGATACAATGGAGCCTTGTCATTAAGGACTTTGTATGTTAAAATGATTTAAAGGACATATCCTGGTAAAAAATAACTCCAAGGTTCCTCATAGCACTACTGGAGGCGATGAGCTATGTCATCTAGAGTAACTATATGGTTAGACACCAGATTTCTAAGGTTTTTAGGCCCAAGTACAAAAACATCTTGTTTTCTCTGAGTTTAGAAGTAAGAAATTACAGCTCATCCAGACCTTTATGTCTTTAAGACATGCTTGAACCAATTTATATGATTCATTTTGGTTCATATATAAGTAGAACTTAGTATCATCTGTGTAGCAATGACAATTTATGCTGTTTCCCCTGATAGTATTGCCTAAAAGGAGCATGTATAAAGTGAAGAGAATTGGACCTAGCTCAGAGCCCTGTGGAACGCCATGACTAACTTTAGTCTATGTGGAAGATTCACCATGAACATGAACAAATTGGAATATATTTGATAACTGACCTCAACAAACAAAGAGACATGTTGATGATTTAGTTGAAACAGTTGTTGAGGTCAGCTCAAAGAGATCTATGGGAGAGACACAATCTAAATATAAATGAAGTCATAGATGTTTCTAAAGCTATTGTACTTGATACGTCTGTAGTAGTTGTGGGAAGATTCTGATTATTTTTTTCTCTAATAGATGTGATTTTATGTGTAAAGAAGCTCAAAGTCATTACTACTGAGATCTAATATTAAAGTCAACAGCACTGTGGCTCTTTGTTCGCCTGGCTACAGTGCTAAAGAGGAACCTGGGGTTGTTCTTATTTTCCTCTATCAGTGGTGAATAATATGTGGTTCTGGCACTATGAAGGGTTAAAAAAAAAAAAGTTAATAAACTATCTTTCCAGGCTAGGTAACACACTTCTAACCTAGTGGAATGTCACTTCCTTTACAGTTTTTGCATTGATTAACAAATGTATGAATAGCTTATTAAAGGTGAAAAGGGCAGGAAGAAAATCTCAGTACATTTTACTCTATTAGTGTATGATTGGAATGGTTATATTTCAGGCTCTTGACTCAGGGGAACTGGTTCCACTGACGACCGACCTGGGTGATCTGATCCGCACCCTGAGTGACCTCTGCATCCAGGCCTATCAACAACTCCTCACTATTATTGAGACGCGCCTGCACTACATCATAGGTACCCTGACGATGATATGGATGCTATTGCTGCTCTCCATTCACCTGCTCCTGTTATCCCACCTTCTGCTTTGCCTCTCCTTCAGTCCCTGCTTTGTTGGAGTCTGAGACCATCCCTGGCCTGTCTGACTCTGCTGCGGTAAAGCTGGGGACGTCCAGGAAGCGAGCAGGCTCCGACGCCAGGAATGTGGGAGGCAATGCTGTCACTATGGCATCAATGCTAAGGGAGCTTGGAGCCTTTCACTCTGCCCTTTCCCATCAGGCTCTGCCCCCAACACTGATGGAACAGGCCTTCCGCCAGCTCACCTACTTCATCTCTGCCACTGCTCTGAACAGCCTGCTGCTGAGAAAAGACATGTGCTGCTGGAGTCGCGGCATGCAAATACGGTAGAGAAACATACACATAAGAGATATGCAGTTTGATATTTATTAATTAATGCTGAGGTGGCTGTCTCTTTAATATCTCTTTTAAAGTATCTTGAATTGTATCTATGACATTTAATTCTTTGAATTAGTTGAAAACAGGCATTTCCATTGTTTAGTATGTCCGCCTAGGGTGGGGGTTGTTTGTTGTTTATTAACACCATACCCCAAAAGTAATGAACAGATTTAGGTGAAATGTTTTGGAGAGGTAGGGTATTGCCCATTGAACAATTGATTAGATTTTGGTGCTGATCCGTATCATAATTTGGGTACAGGAATTTTTCAAAAGGATTATTAACCATTGTGAGTGCTGGAAAGGCTGACTGTATGTAAACCCCCTTGTGGCCAACACACGTAGCTGCGCAGCACTTTGAGCACATAAACAGCTGGGGAAAGATCTACTCTTAACAGAAACAGCTGGGCGATGACAGAGATTTTGAGCCAGGCTCAAAGCTATTAACAGTTTCATTTGTAGGACTGGTATTATGTCACTTTATTATTAGAACTGCATAGTTATTATGTTGCATGCATTAATGCTAAACAAAGAAAACATGCAACTGTTCCTTATGTCCATACTCGCTGTGAGGAAGTCATTTCCTAACGTGATTCCAAATTAAATGGGGACAAAGTCCACAGTCCATTCTGTGTGAAAATTAGTTCTTAAGTTCAGCTGCTATAAACATGAGGCTTCAGTAGTTTGAGTCAAAGTGGGAATCTCCAAGGCTGAGAAATGAAGCCCATGCAGAAGTGTATGTCATTAAATTTCTCAGAGACAAGGTGACACCTTCATTTTACTTTTGTTCAATCTATAGGTTCTCTAGGTTCAAAGCTATTCACATTTCTATCATATATGACAAAGAAAAGCAGCAAATCCTCCAAAGTGAAAAGCTGGTATGGATGAATTTTATTTTATTTATCTACTACTCTGTGATGGCTTGGCGACCTGTCCAGGGTGTACCCCGCCTTCGCCCGATTGCCAGCCAGGATTGGCTCTGGCCCCCCTGTGACCCTGTTCAGGGACTAAGCGGTAGAAAATGAGTGAGAGAGTGAGTTATCTACTACTATCAAACCGCCCATTAATGTGCAGCTACTCATTTCGGCTTAATTCAGTTTGGCTCATTTTCCATTTGAATGAGAAAAGATAAGATGCTTCCCTCGACTGCCTTATGCAACATAACATCACAAACTATAGCCTCAACAATTCCCTTAGTAACATCATCCTTTCGGGCAACTATGGTTCAGTGGGTACAGTAGCTGCCTCCCAACCGAAGGTTTGAATCATGGTGCCTGCAGTGACCCCCAAGTTGCCCCGATGGTTAGAACCATCGGCTGAGTTGTCGCTGCAGATGGCTGCCATGGGTCCTGTACCGGAAGCATATTCCTTGTGTGTAACATACTTGGCCAATAAAGGTGATTATTCCTATACCATCCTGAAACTGTATCAGCACTGATTAACTGTACATTATAAAGTTATATTTTAATGCAGTGTACTTCTGTTATTAATTTTGCATCCTCCCCCTTTAGGTATTGTTAAATGTATAAAAACATTTTACTAATCAGCCTGTCTTTCTGCAGCTACAATGTCAGCCTGCTGGAGGACTGGCTACGGAGCCACGGTCTGCAGGCGGGGGGTGCTGTGGCCACACTGGAACCCCTCATTCAGGCAGTTCAGCTGCTGCAGGCAGGTAAAAAGACGGAAGCTGATGCACAGGCCCTTGTTCAGACTTGCAGTGCCCTGTCCAGCCAGCAGGTGGGTCCCTCTGTCACTTGTCTTCCAGAGAAAACACATTGTCCACTTAAACCTGTATATAACTGTTCTGTGTCTTATTACTCTCAACAGATTGTGAAGATTCTGACCCTCTACACTCCCCACAGTGACACTGATGAAAGAGTCACACTGAATTTCATCCGTACTGTCCAGGTACTGTCTACACCTGGAAGCTTTGCTTTGTTTATCAGTTTAAAGCAGTGTTTGTGTGTCACATAAGGGTTTCTGTTGTCCTAGGGGCTTCTCAAAGGCCGTCCTTATGCGCTGCCTCCACAGCTCCTAATGGATGTGAGGAGAGTGTTTCCAGTCACATTCCCCTACGTGCCCCCCACCGTCCTGCATGCTGAGAAGTTAGTCATCCCAGACTCCCTGAAAATCAGCTTTTTGCGCAGAGCCTAGGAAACAAAGCCTTTCCTCTTCAGAGCAGATATAGTATGTTAGTGTTTTATCAAAATTAGCTCCCAGCCTATTGATATTTCTTTGAAATTTCAAATAATTTCCAGAGTGTGTTGTGAACTTAATTTCCAGTAGATTAAAAAGATTATAACCTCACACTGATTTGATGCTTCAACAACATTTTTATTGAGCCCAATCTGTCATACCAACATGGTTTTATCAGATTCTTTTAGGGGTGCTTAATATGTTTAATTGATCAGTTAATTATCAGTGAATTAGTTACTGTACTATAGATAAAGTTGTGACTTCTGGGAGGTCAAAATTTGTCAGCTAACTAACCTGGATTTCCGTGGAGAGTAGTACAGATTAGTGTACAATGAAAAGTAGGTTGTTCTGTAGTTTGTAATAACAATCCGACTCTTGCCTTTTTTCATATTTTATTGGAAGCAGAAACACAATGAGACTGCAGTCCCAGTAACCTCATCCCCCAATAAGAACTAGAAAAAAAACTTGAAACATCTCATGTATAAAAAAATTCTCATGCGAGTACTTTTTACCACTACACATCATCAGAAATACATATTTATATATTCACAACCATTTGAAAAATAGAAAACAATGAAATTTCAAAATCAAGAAAACGGCAATTGGCATTTAACATCAAATATTTATGTGTGCTGGCACAATAAATTCTTCTTAATCTTTTTTGTTTTAATGTTCCTATAATGCACCGCTTCTGGAAGTAGAGGGCCAGCGTCATTGTACAGGTGTCCATCTGTGTGGCCTGGACAGAACGAGACAGATCATGCATGCCTGTCCGTTTTATGTGTCTGTGCTTTTCGTTGTCCTTCTGCATTTGTCCATTACGTCTGTGTGCATTCCTGTTTCACAAGCCAGCCCCGTACCCCAACACGCAAACCGAGCCTCTGGAGGAGGAGGAATTTCCTTGACTAAAGTATCATTGTCAACAGCAATAGACTATTTTTTCGTGGCATTTCCAGCTATGTGACAGTTTTGTACCTGTAAAATTATTAAAATACAGTGCGGATGCCGTCTTATTGAATAGAAGACCTTATACACACCAGACAGAGATGCAACATCTTTAGTTTTAGAAGTAGTTTCCTTTTGTAGATAGCATGATGCTAATGCCAATGTTAAAGTCAGAAACTGGGAGTTTATTCATTTGGCACTAACTCAAACCCATTAAACCATTAGATTTTGTACAAGTTGTTTGTCACTCATTTCCAGTGTGTACATGGCCTTCCTGTACCTTTCAATAGTAGCTACATTTCCAGATTGGGCACCCATGCATACATACGCAGTCACCCAGAGCAAATTTCAAGTTTACAAAAGAGCAGCTAACTTCACTTCACATAGTCAGACGTGTTTCATCTGAGCTCTTTACAATGCTCAGCAACAACAGCTGTACAAACTTCATTCTCTAATCAGCTCTACTACAGCTGTGATATTTGGCCCATTACAAGACAGCATTTACAACATAGTAGACAAACACTTGTGCTGATATAATTAGAATAATCACAATGTAAACATTATATGACTGCTTCAAAAATGACTCATCTACACAGGTTCTTATAGATTAGATGCATAGAGTTCAGTTCTTACACCTTGTTCAAAAGAGGGGGCCTTTTAAACAAATCATATACAGTCAGGTGCCTTTGGGGGGTGAGGCCCGACTTTGAGGCAGAAATAGAAAAACAAACCAGTAAACACCCTGTCATTATTGAACTTTGAATCTTTCTTCTGAGTCCTGAAGAACCTGATTATCATGACCACTTCCTTTCCTGAATACTGTTTTGTTCGCAACAAGCATACAAACCTCTTATATACAGATAAAACTATTTTTAAAAAAGGCATTCAGTGAAACTAAAAGTGGCATTAAGGGACATGCTGGACAGTCAATCAATTCAAACCATTTAGTTTCATTTTAATTTAACTGCAAGACGATGTGTAATTCCTGTAAGTTCACAAACAGTCACTGAAAGACAAACACAGGTATTATTATTGGGTGCAGCAAAAGACCCTGTGCTTCTACCTCACACTACATTTTCATAGTCTTAAATGTCATCACCGGACCTGGCATGGTCTGGATCTGCAGCCCTTTAACAGAGGTCTGACTTCTTGACTTCTCGGTATTAGGTGTCCAGGTTACAGCACCTGCAGCTGGATCATTAGGGATCATGGGCGGTAGAGCATTAGTGATTTATGCCCTCCCCAGGGTGCAGGGTGGTTTTGTAACCCAAGTAGACATTTTAGATATTTATTATCATCTTACATGCAGACTGTGATTGGGGTAGTTTTTTTCTTTTTTCTTTTTTCTTAAATAAAGTAAAGGCCTGGCAGTTTAGCTTCCTCTATCATGCACCCAGTTTAGGGCTGTCTAGCCATGGATTGTTTGTTGTAACACAAAGAAGATGAAAATAACCATTAGAAGATATAAATTCATCCTCCCCAAAGTAACACACTTAGAAAATCCTCCAAAATCGAATCTGAATATGAACACACCACCACTGCGCAACTTCCTATTTGTGATGGCTTTCTGTATATTACATTTGCAGGTAACAGGCAACACAGGTGGCTACATGAGGTCAACATCAGAACATGTTACAATCACACTCACACAACTTCACAAATCTGCTCAAATGCAGATTATATACTCACACTTTGATTCGCTCATTCATTCACAGAGTACTTGAAGGCATTTTCATCCGATTCACTGACTAAACATAATGCACGAGGGTCAACGAGACAGAAGGCATTGAGGGTGTCAGGCAGTGTGCTCTGTTACCAGGTAGACGGACAGAAAGACAAGGACAATCTTTCAAGTACCACTGAATAAAATCCAAGATGACTTTACATTTGTCCTTCTTATATTATATTATGTAAATTTACATATACATATAGTCATAGAATTATTCAAATATAAATATACAGTGGGTATGGAAAGTATTCAGACCCCCTTAAATTTTTCACTCTTTGTTATATTGCAGCCATATGCTAAAATCATTTTTCATTTTTTCCTCAATGTACACACAGCACCCCATATTGACAGAAAAACACAGAATTTGACATTTTTGCGGATTTATTAAAAAAAGAAAATCTGAAATATCACATGGTCATAAGTATTCAGACCCTTTGCTGTGACACTCATATATTTAACTTAGGTGCTGTCCATTTCTTCTGATCATCCCTGAGATGGTTCTACACCTTCATTTGAGTCCAGCTGTGTTTGATTATACTGATTGGATGTGATTAGGAAAGCCACACACCTGTCTACATAAGACCCTACAGCTCACAGTGCATGTCAGAGCAAATGAGAATCATGAGGTCAAAGGAACTGCCTGAAGAGCTCAGAGACAGAATTGTGGCAAGGCACAGATCTGGCCAAGGTTACAAAAAAAATTTCTGCTGCACTTAAGGTTCCTAAGAGCACAGTG